CAGCCCGGAGAGACCCAGCGAGACCCTCAGCAAGGAGCGCTGGCACAGCGTCCTGGGATCCTCGGAGGCTCTAAGTGCTGACGAGGCAGACGAGCAGTTCGGGTGAGTGCGAAGCTGTCCTAGCGTCAGGGCTGGTTTGTGTGTGTTGTTTTCAAGGCTCCTGGTTTCGAATTACTCTGCTCCGTGTGTGACTCTTCAGTTTAAGAAGCTGCAGCTGCTCTCATGGCTGTCTCTGGCTTTTCTCTCTCGTTTCACTGTGGGCTTCTCGCACAGTTTTTCTCTGTTACAAATACAGGAAAGCTGTGATTAGAGCCAGTGCCTGCTCACAGAGTCACTAAAATGAAGGATAAGCTTTTGGGATCTCGAGGGTGCTGGCTCTGCTCACTTTGGGGCTGTCCCACTTGCAATTTGGAGATTCAGCTGCAGCATTTACAGCAGTTACCTAAGATAACTTAGGGCAAGTATGACAGCCTGGGGATGGTGGAGAGCCAGGCTTGTCTGAGAGGCTGGTGCACCCTGGAAGTCCCTGGCAGCATGGCTAGCTCTGGCAGTCTCTGGGCTAGCAGGTGACAGCTGTGTATCCAAGAGGGGGCGAGGCACTGAGCTTTGCTCTCTGCTGCACCTGTGGCAGGTGTTACCAGTGCCCGAGTGGTACATGAAGAGCAGAGTGAGACAAAAGATACAAGTGTCATCCTGTTCTCAAGTGCCTGAAACAAACCAGCATATGTGCAATGCCCCTCGGTCCCTGAATCCTCTCTGCTGGCAGCCTGGCTCAAAGGAGAACTCTTTGGTCTGGGAGACACTCACATTGGTGTGATATCCACAGCTGATTTAATGCCTCTACAAGTTTCTTGACCTCCCTGGGGCTCTGCAGGTTGGGGTCTGAGGGGGAATGACAGGTCACAGGGATGAGGTGGGGTGCTTCCTGTAGAAGTGGTATGGATGATTCCCTTTGCCACCAGAAATCATCCAGAAGTTTGTATTATGGCCACCCAGGATTGTTGGCTGCTGGGGATCTTGTGGCCCTGCCTGTGTACCTAGCCTGAGGCAGAAGAGACGCTGAAAGCAGGAGGGGCTGGAGAAGAGCAGCAGAGGCTGTCCTAGAGGAGCATGGCCTTCTTAAGGGAAGGAGTGATAGGGACAGGGTGGCCCAGGTGGCCTGTGGATCACCTCCTAGCTTTAGTCTAGGCTCCAGGCTGAGCCATTTGTTTGGAGTGCTGTATGGAGCATGGGCGGGAGTGTCAGCAGAGCTGGGAAGCCACGCAGTGTGGGGGCTGATGGCAGGCATCCCTCACTTTGCTTCTCTGGTATGGAACAGGCTCCCCTATAAAAAGCTGGTGGTTTGTTTTACTCAAGCCCCCCTCCAAGAAGCAGCAGCACTGTTTCAACAAGCACAGCTGAAGGTATTTGCAGGCTGGTGCCATCCAGGGAACTTAGAGAGCCTGTCCCCAGGCAGGTCCCACGAGCCCTGCAAGCTATGTAGTCAGGTTTTGGGTATCTGCAAGTCTCTCAGGTTTCAAGGGAATCATATTTGCTTGGTATGTGGCTGCCTGGCAAAGGCTGTGAGTTCAAGAGGAAGCTAAGGGTGGTCAGAGAGTGTTGCAGCAATCACTGGAAGTGCAATTATTTTAAGGTACTAGGGCATGAATCCGGAGAAGTAGCAGGCTGGGGATTTGGAGATGATGCAACCTGACTGGGCTCTGCATGCACAGCCCCTGATCTTATGCTCTAAACATATTCCCTTGGATAGCAAATAAGTCTTTGGGGAAGCGGAATGCACAAGGGACAAGTCACATGCTGTATTCAAAGGCAGAAGGGCAGCTGGAAAACTTCAGAGACACAGCTGAAATCTGGGAAACCACTTATTGCCTGCGGATCGAGTTAGCTCACTGTGTTCGAGCTCATTAGTACCTTCACCACCTATCTTTAGGCTAAATGGCAGAAACATGTGGCTGGGCCAAACACAGCATGGAGCTGGTCTGCCCTAACCGTATGGACAGTCTGGCTCTCCTGCATCAGTGTGGGTCAGGTTGAACAAAGATGACAGATGGACCAAGGCACAGAGAAGTCACTGTCATCCTGCATCACCTCTGAGTTTCCTCAGTTCTTCCTGTACTCCCCTTTGGGGAGTTGCTGTTTCTGTAATGACCCATTCTGGATATAGGAGAACCTGCCCTGATGTTTCACTGATGAGCAGTCAACGATTTGTTCCTGATGACAAATCACTTGTCACCATCTGCATGTTGCTGCTTGTATGGTGCATTTTGTCCCTGAATTCTGAAGTACTTGACAAGAAGGGACAGAGCCAATGGAGAATTAATGGGGGAAAAGTCATCTGAGGTCATCAGTCCGTGGTGGAGCTGGAGAAAGAAACCATGATTGCTCTGCTGAAGGTAGGTTAGTGCATCTGTGCAGAAAATGGTTGGTTTCAGGCACATGGTGTGATTGTTGGGGCTGTGTTGTGCAGGGACAGGAGTTGGACTTGATGATCCTTGTGAGACCCTTCCATCTCAGGATATTATGTGATTCTATGATAGGTTGTACTTTATTACAACTAATTGACCAGTGAGACATTAAATGTAAACAACTCAGTGCCAAGTGCTCTGCTCTGTGTGCCTTACTATAAGCAATAAACCAGCGTTTTGGAGACAACTAGGGAAGGCAGCACAGGCAATTAGGTGCCATGTTCCTGCAATACACTTACAAAACCTTGTGATTACAATGCAAATAAATATATTGCTTCTTATTTCAGTAAAGCAATTGCCTTCCCTGCTGCGTAATAAGTAGGCAGCACTGCTCCATGGGGAGCCAATGTCAGGTTCATTCACACAAGCAAGGTCTTTCCCTGTCTCCTACCTTAGCCTGGCTTTGCTTGAATGGGATGCAGACAATGATCCTGGGCTGGTGTAAGCTGTATAAAGTCTCTCTGTCTTATCTGGGACTGTGCAAGGAGAAGTGTGATGTGCCTAACATGTTGGTGCCCACTAAGAGGGACTTTTCACAGGGATGTGTAGTGACAGGACAAGGGGGAATGGCCTTAAGTTGAAGGAGGGCAGGGATAGATTAGAGATTGGAGAGAAATTCTTCCCTGTGAGGGTGCTGAGGCACTGGCACAGGTTGCCCAGAGCAGCTGTGGCTGTCCCATCCCTGGAAGTGTTTAAGGCCAGGCTGGATGGAGCTCTGAGCAACCTGGTCTAGTGGAAGGTGTCCCTGCCCATGGCAGAGGCATGGAATGAGATGAGATTTATAGTCCTTTCTAATTCAAACCATTCTATGACTCTATGACCCATCCAGGACCAGGGCTCCTACGCTGACCTCTGTGGTCTGTCCCACACACGCCTTTGCTGGGGCATTTGTAGGGACACAGACTTTCTCCCTTTGCTGCAGCTGTACAAGTTTGGGCTCAAGAGATTAGGAAAGGCCTGGAATATACAATATCTGTGTGTGAACAGTTAATGGAAATGACTCTGTTCAGTGCAGTGAAAGAGTGGGAGCTGTCTGACTTGGGATTATGGCAATGTAAGACTTGCTAAGTAATAACCAAGAGGTGCAGGGCTTGATGTCTCTTCATGGATGTGATACCCAGGAGCACCAAGGAGAATACCTACAGGCACAGCTGCTGTGCAGAGCACCCTGGAAACACCTGCTGTTCCCCAAGCCTCATGGGGATGAGCCCTCCTGTACAGGGGCTCCCACACAAAGCCATTCCACTGGTGATGGGAGTGATGCAGGCCAAGGTAAAATATTGGTACATTATCCAGGCTGTTAGAGTCCCAAATCCAATCCATAGCACCATATGTGCTGCTGTGAGGAAAGTGAACTCTCTGACAGGTGGAGCAAATGTTCCTTTAGCTTCTGCCATGTTACCCCATGAAATGTAAGGTTCTGACAGAGCAAATGACAGCAGTGGCTGCTGGAAGTGGGTAGGCAGGTTTCACCTGAGAACCTGTGTTACATTAGGCAGGTCCTGGGCTGTTCCAGGAAGAATAGAGCCTTCACAGCTCTCTAGAGATCCCAGCACAGAGTATTTCTGGATTTGACTCAGATGAATTCTCCCAGTGTGGGTTCATATTGAGATGTGCACTGGAATGAATGCCCCTGCATCCAAAGCCAAGCAGATTTGGGATTGCTGAGAGTCATCCATGCTTACCTGGAAGCTGGGTTTGTAGGTTCATGCATCTCACAGCCTGTAATGTGTGCCTGAATCCCCCAGACTAGCTGTAACACAGGATGGAGCACCCTGCCTGGGTTTCTGCCCATAGCCTTTCACATCCCTTTCAGTAGAGAGAACACTATTTGTAGGCAGCCTTGCACTTCCAGGGTGCCTCATCTAAGAGAAGAGGCTGAAGTTACAGCACATGCTTTGCTCACTAAAAGCTTCTGCTTTTTCTCCACTGTAAAAGGGATCAAGGACATTTGCTGCTGACAGCCAGAGTTAGATAAAATGGCCTCAATCTTCAGGATTTTCATGCTTATGAAGTAGCCATAATTGGAACACTTAAAGGAAGAGTTAACCTGCAGGTTAAATCCGTTCTGGCATTGTATCCAGTAACAGGTGTCATGTGCAAACGTCTCCGGTTCAGAGGTTTGGCTTTTTACTGGGACATGACCAAATTAAGGGTTGACTGGGCCTCTGGGATTGCTCATCACAAAACTCTGCCTTTTTCAGAAGCTTGTAATAAAACTGGGAACTAAACAGGTTATACCACAGAAAGATCCCAAGGGCCCATAATCACAGCATCTCTTTCTGCCTCTTCTCTTGCCTCCCAGCTCCAAGTGGAACAGGGAAATAATTGCCTTGACAGTATTTTCTACATTTCATCTTTTGGTCCAGGTTTGCTTGTGGAGATGCCAAGCTGAGCTGCAGCGATGATGACAGGGAGCATTTTCAATTCAAAGACATCAGGGATGGCTTCAGCTCAACTTTTGAGAAGATTGTTGAGTCTGACCTTATGAAGGGGACATACTACAGCAGCCTGGACTCTTTGGATGTCCTCTCCCTCACAGACGAGACAGACAGCTGTGTCAGTTTTGAGGCCCCACTCACCCCACTGATCCAGCAAAGGGCCAAGGAAAGCCCCGAGCTCTTGGAGCAGAAACTGGCAGCCCAGCAGAGAGAAGCCCTTCACCACATGGCTGCAGATAAGCAAGAGCAGGCAGCAGCAAAGCCAGCAGAGGGGGATTTTGGGAGCCCTCTCAGACACTCTATTACCAGCAGCAGGTCAGAGAACGTGCTGAGCCGGTTGTCCTTGAAGAGCATCCCAAATGGGTTCCACGTGGAAGGGTCAGAGGAAGATGCCACCAAGATCATTAACTCCATCAGGTAAGACATGGAATTTCTTAGGCAGGGGTTCTTTGTCTTATGGGGTCCCGGTATAGAAGCAAGGCTCAGAGGACCTGATAGACCTGGAGCTGCTCTTTTACCCCTTGCACTTCCTCTCTTGTGCTGTAGTGGCAGAGAGGCCAAACACTAGGAGGAAAAACTTTCCTGCCTGTAGGTTAGGACTGCAGCTGGGGACCAAAGTTTTGTCCAATTGGTTGAGTGGGGCTGTGTCTGAGTCTTCCTTGGGCTCAAATCTAGGACCCCAAACCACAGGTGAGCTGCAGGAGGAGTCCTGTGGTCCCAAGAAAAGCCAAGGCTCTGCACTTGGTGGTCTTGTTCTCTCTGGAAGGCATCACCATCCATCTGGCTGCTCATAAACCCCATCTGCCCTTAAAGCAGGTGAAGCTGGCTCCTCTGGCCAGACCACTGCCTTGTCAGCCTGACACCTGCAAAGCCCTTGGCAGGTTGGGGGCAGTCAGATGCACTCCCAAATGTGCTCTGAAATTCAGGGAAACCTCAAAGTTTCATTTAGGTGCCCCTATAAAAGCCTTCCCAAAGGTTCTTCTGCAGACAGTCAGGAGATTAGCAGAGACTTCATCCTCTGGACCAGCTCAGACCAAAACCATCATCCCTGGGAAGCAGCAGCTTATCTTCAGGGCACTTCCATGCATGTGGAAGCCAGGTGATGAGCAATCAGGTCATGGGAGAGCTGGAAAAGGGTCATATGTCCAGCTCTCAGGCCTTCAGTGAGTCACACTGATCAAAAAGGTGTGTGTGGGTGCAATAACTGGCCTTGGGCAGGAAAATAAAAGGCTGTATCCCCACCTACATGGTGCCAGCAGGGCTGTTCAGTGTGTTGTCTGTGGGAACAGCTGGCCATGAGGTCAGCAGGTACCTGGGAGAGGAGCAGCCCACCAGGTCTGGTGCCAGTCCCATTGGCACAATTTGTAGAAGTGCAGTTTCTCATCCTTGGCAAATAACCTGAACAGAAAAGCATAATGTCTGTTACCTAAGATTTCCTGAATGTCCACAGCTCAGAAAGAGTTTGGTATCCCTTTCCACAGCCGTGGAGAGAGAGGAAAATTTAAAGGTGTAGGGGCTGCTTACTTTGAATGGATAAGTCCTCATTTGTCAGGGAGAACTCACCCTCTTTCAAAACTTTTTGACAAATCTGAAATTGAATTGTACTATTTCATCTGACCTGAAATGACAGAGGGTTTGTCCAATGTCCAGTTTGTCCAGTTCACAAACATATTGTTGTTTTCTTCATATGTTTTGGTGAGGACAAGGAGAAATCAAAATGTGGCATTTTCTGTGGGTTTCATCAAGTCACATTGCTGCTCCTTGAATGTTTCTTGTTTCCATCTAGTGACGCCAGCCTGAAGGACACACTCTCAGACTCCGACTCTGACATGGGCAGCACAGAGCAGTTGGATCAGGGCAGCACAGACACCTTGGCAAACGGCTGCAGGGCAGACAGTGAGGCTGCCAAGAGATTGGCCAAGCGTCTTTACAACCTCGAGGGGTTCAAGCGCTGTGACGTGGCACGTCAGCTTGGGAAAAAGTGAGTGGGGTTTGGGTTTCATCCAGCCCTGTGAGGGGGTGATGGGGATGGCAGCGTAGAGTGTAGCCCACTGAAACACTGTGATGGTGGGGAAGGTCTGGGGGAGCACTGGTTGTGTTGGGAGGACAGGATAAAGGCAGGAAGGGACAAACCTGTTTGCTAGATGGAGCTGGGTCTATTCGAGATCCTGACAGTTGAAACTGACCCAAGCCCAATGCCCTTAAAATATGAATTTTAGCTGCCTTCAATATTGGACATTAACCATCACAAGCTGCTGCCCACCAGAGTTAAGAGCTTCCTGCCTTTGGTAAGGGCCCAGCAAGACTATAGCAATCCTCACGCTGAAGAGGTTGGGGTCCAGACCTAGCTGTGCACTGGGCTCCCTGCTAGTCCCCAGGTTTTTCATGTCTGCACCTCAAAATTTTCTTGCTGAAGAGCCTTCCAACTCAGTCTGTAAGAAGGCAGGAGGGGTTTGCTGCAGAGCCAGGGATATACCAGAGGTCCAAGCACTTCAGCTGGTAGATTAGCCTGGGTAAAGCAGAAGGGAAATAAAAAGTGTTTCTTCAAATATTCAAAAGTGGGAGAGTTAAAGAGATGTCTAAGAGACAGAGTAACAGTAACGAGTGTAGCAGTAACAGATTATTTTAGGATGCCAGTGGGTGTGAAGGCACCAATCCCCATCATCCTTTGCCTGGATCAGATATAACCTGTGTTGCTGGGATTTTTTTTTTCCTCCTTGAAATGTCTCACTCCTGCCCAGATCAGGAGAGCACAACTGTCCCTCAGGAATACTCAAGCTTTCAGTTACAGGGATCATCTGTGATTCCCAACTTAGTCCTGGGACAGAAGGAGTCCACAAATGATGATTTAGAGAGGTTCTTTGCATCACTTAGCAGCATCCCTGTTCTTCTCTTTTGCTGTGCTTTGGCAGCAGGTGCATTGCTGCTGCCTTAGGTCCCTGTAGCAGGTGCATTGCTGCTGCCTTAGGTCTAACATCCTTCTTTCTTTCAAATTTGCCATGACAGCTCACTGAAGGGGAATCTACCCCTCTGCTAGTCCCTGAAATTCTCACTCACACCTGCATCCCTCACACCTTGGAAGGCTGATTGGTGACCCACATCTGGAAACACAGCCTTTGAAATTAAAGTTTTGTTTTGATCAGTTGGGTTTTGACATCTGAACCATTTCCTGGCATAACACCTGAATAGAGCTGCAGGCTCTTGGATCAAGCAGAGCAGGAAAGGAAGAAGGATAAAGATAGGTGTGTATTAAGTCAGTCTTGCTCACTTAAGACAATGTAAGACCAACCTGTCGTGGTGGGAGCAGGAAAACTTTAAGTGATGTTTTCAGGCCAGGTCCATGTAGGAGAGCTGTGCAAAAAGTGAAATCTCATTTTAAAGCTATTTAGCTAATTTTACCCTCTTTTGTTTTCTTTGTCATCATTGGCAATTAAAAAAAAAACACCACAAAAAACCCCACCAAAAAACAATGCACCAAAAGCAAACCGAAGCCAAAAACATTCATCATTGTCAAACAAGCAGAAAAGGCCTGATGAACAAGGAAAAGTGCAGGTTGGATATCTCCATGTAGTTTCTTTCCAGTTGACACAATTCTATGAAAATAACCCCAAATCCAGAAATACCTTTTCTCTCTGAGGGGCATGTGTTTAGGCAGCCAGGCTCTCCATGGATGACTCTTGTTCCTGGATTGGTCTGTGTCCCTTTCTCAGCTCTGACACTGCCCATGGTCACGTTTTTGTGCTGGGTGGAGTTTCCTGGCCATGAAGACAGTAGTGCCAGCCACTTCCTTGTAGATTTTCCCAAAGCTGTACTGTGCTCAGCAAACCTTACTGACAGCAGCCAAGTGCAGTTTCAGCACCTCAATTCCCTGAGATCTGTGAGTCTGTTGGGGTCCCATGCATGGACAGTATGGCATGGGCACACAGCCTATTTCCCCCTCACAGGTGAAGTGAATTTTATTCACACAAACTCCTTATGGACAATCTGGTTTTGACTCATGTGATTGTAATACAAAAAGGATCCTGAACAATACAGGTTTAGCTTTGTAGGACAGTGGAATTCAGGCTGTAAAGCAACACATACCTGTCCAGGTCCAGCCACACAGGAATGAACTGGGAAAAAAGGAGAGGAGGCTCAGGGAGGACACTATCACTCTCTACATCTACCTGACAGGAGGTTGTAGCCAGGTGGGGATCAGTCTCTTCTCCCTCACAGCTGGTGACAGCATGAGAGAAGGTAGTCTCAAATTGTGCCAGGTGAGGTTTAGGTTAGACATTAGGAAGAATTTCTTCACAGAAAGGGTGATTAGGCACTGGAATAGGCTGCCCAGGGTGGTGATGGAGTCACCATCCCTGGAGGTATTTAAGGAGAGACTGGACATGGCACTCAGTGCCATGGTCTAGTTGACATGGTGGTGTTAGGTGATAGGTTGGACTTCGTGATCTCAGAGATCTTTTCCAACCTGATTGATTCTGTGAAAGGGCCAGAGCTCCTGTTTTCCCCTGGGGTGGCTTGTGACCCAGCAGGTCAATATGCACTCTTGGTGCCCGGACCTTCCCAAACCAGGCAGAAGGTAGAAGTGTCAAACTGGGGTGTAAGGTGAGAGGAGGTCTGTAAAGGCTGTGTGTGTGGCAGGGACACCAGCCAGAGGATGCCAGGCATGTCCACTTGGGAAATGCCTTGTAGGGCTTCCAGCCAGAGGATGTCAGGAACATCCCTGTGGGAAATGCCTTGCTGTTCTTGTGGGAATGTCTCTGGTGTGTATGAGCTGCATGGTAGAAGCGTCACCCATTCCTGTAGGAAGGGCTGGGACTGGCACAGAGAGAGAGGAGGACAATTCCTAACTGAAGAAAGCAGAGAAAACACCTAAGCCTACCTCAGTGTGGTCTTGCCCTGGCCAGCACTGGCATTCTGTGTCCCAGACATGCCTGGGGCATGTTAACAGGCTCTGGAGCTCAGGGAGAAGGGTCCCATTAATGTCACTGAGCCCCTGGCTAGACATAGGAGCTCATTGCTTCCTGGGGGTTGGTTGCTTTCAGGTGTCCTGTGACACTCTCTGGTTTCCTCAGCAGAGCTGGCAGCCCCTGCCTTGAGCTTCTCCAAGCAGAGAGGGACCAGGTGGGGCACACAGGAAGGAGTGATGAGCTCCCAGCCTGGGGGCTGCTGGCACAACCAGTGCTTGAGGTCTTCTGCAGGCTTGGAGCTGAGAGGACCCCAGAGGAGGTCTGGAGCTTGCTTGGTTCTGCTAATCCTTTGCCACATGATTGAAGATGTGGTGATATCTCCTTTCACAAATATGTGGTCATCATCTGCTGTGAAGTTCCAGGAAAAGTGGAGGTCTCCCTGGGAAGCTGGCAGGAATCTGCACACCAGTCACTGTGGCACTGCCTCAGACAGACTAACACTTTGGGTTTTGGGGCCATGAGGACGTGTTCTTTCCCACAGATAGCAATCCCAAATGTTAAGATTGTGTTATGAGTGTGAGGCCCTGTGGCTTCATATGGCTTTGAAGTAGTTTCTTGCACAAACCCCAGCACCAATATTTATCTTCTTGCTCTCAAAACTCAGCCTGGAACTCTTCCCTGGAGCTGTCATACTGCTCTGCCTGATCCTGCTGTGTGTTGTGCTTCCTAACAGCATCCATGCCAGAGGCTTTGCAGCATCCACCTCACAGCAGAGATGAAACAATGCTGTAGGAAAAGCTTTGAGTTCTGCTGTAACATGTCTCAGCATGAATTTGGATGTGAAATCCTTAGCAATAAGCTTTTCATTTTTGAAAGAGAATGAAAAAGAATTGTATATGGAAAAGGCTGAGCATGTTGAGATCATCTCCCATTTCTTGCCTGTATTCATTGAGTACTCTTGCATTTCCACTGAGTTGTGTAGATACAAGAGCTCAACAAACCCCATTCTGGCTTTGAAGGCAACACATCTCCAAGCATCCTTCTAAAATGTGGCAGGGGAATGGTTCCTGGAGAGGCACTCAGGGATGAGTAGGGCCAGAAGCTTAGCTGAGCTCTTCTCTAGTCCCCAGTGGCATCCATCTGCCATGTGAGCAAGGTGCTGTGGTGGGAGGGTGGGATGGGAGCCAAGGTGGAGTGGAGGGCAGGAATATTGCAGTGGGAGGAGGTTACATGTCCAGCAATGGGAGAAGACTAGGTGAAAGAGAAGGTGCTGGAGGAGCAGAGGGCATCCTTAGGGCCTCTTCCCCCTCCTGGCTGGTTTATGAGGAGGCTCTGCCTGGCCAGCAGCATGGCAGAGGACTGCAGGGTGTCTCATTCTCAGGTGTCTGGGGATAGCTGTGGGCATGTTAGGGAGGTCTTCCAGAAGCCAGGAGCAAGTGTCCCTGGGTCTGGGATCATGTGTGCAGTGTCTTGCTGGGAGTGGGCTGGCTAGGAGGGAGCAGTCTGCTGTTTCTCCTGTGGACAGTGCCATGTTACTTGATGAAAGGGCTGACTATTCCCTTTTTAATTACAGTAATGAATTTAGCAAGTTGGTAGCAGAGGAGTATCTCAGCTTCTTTGACTTCACTGGCCTGACCCTTGACAAAGCACTCAGGTGAGCTGGGCTCTGGGATGGATGGGATGGAGCAGCGTGGTGGGGTTTCCTCCAGGCTTTCCAGCACGGTGGGGGCCATCCATGTGCTAGGAGCAGGGACTGAGAGGAGCTCCAGCCTGGCATTTAATCTTTGCTTTAGTGTCACGTTTGGCACAAGGTGCTGCCACCTTAAATGGCTTTGACAGGAGGGCCCACAGCCTGCCTCCCCATGGTGGAGAGCAGCTTTTCCAGAGGTGCCAGACCAAAATCAGAGCAAATGGCAGCAACTTCATCCCATCGTGATGCTGTCAAGGTAGAGGTGGGTCAGATCTCAGCTGACAGCATATTTCCCTGCACAGCTCAGCACTGCCTCCATAGACCCCTTTGCATATCATCTGCAGGGACCCACGGGGCGTGCAGGCTGAGGGGAAGATAAAGGACCCCTTCCTATCTCACTCCATAGCAAGGACACTGCCCAGCAGATTGATCCATGACATCCCTAAGTATCTTTCTCTTTGCAGGACGTTCTTGAAAGCGTTTCCACTGATGGGAGAGACGCAGGAGCGGGAGCGAGTGCTGATTCATTTCTCCCGGCGATACTGCCAGTGCAACCCAGAAGAGAGCACGTCCGAAGGTACCACTGCCTTCCCCTGGCTCCAGTGTCCTTTGCACACTTGTCCTTGTCACAGACCCCCAGTGCAAAACCAACTACCCACCCACAGCCAGGCAGGCATGGCTGCACCCTCTCCCTTTCACTGGGATCCTGCTCTGATCATTATCCCTGCTCTGGGAGGGACTGGAGGTGGTTGGTGCTGACAGACTCCCACAAGAGAGCCAGACCAGGATCTGAAGTGTGGGGTCCCAGGGAGCTTTGTCCTCCTAAGTGCACATGAGCTGTGCTGAACCAGCACTGGATCTGGAGCCTGGATCAGTGGCTGTGCTGTGCTCAGCACCAGGGAGGTGCTGAGTGGTTCTCAGGGGGTACAAATTGCCTTAGTCATGGCTTGCAAAGTGGCTGCTGACTGGGAAAATGAGTGGCTGGTGCTAGCTCAGCACAGGACCTTGTCTATTGAATGGGAGAAGACCTTTCCATGCAGTCTGAGGAATGCTGTTGGTGTGCTCCACACAGGAGTTGTGTTCCCCACACCTACAGCTGCAGCAGGAGAAAGCACAGCTGTTGAAATTCTGGGCACACTGTAGTTGCAGATTTTCTTAGCTACTTTCAGCCTCTCCACATTATTTTTTAAAAGTGGATGTAGTTTCTTCTGACATTTTTAGGTTAACTGTTGGACTCAGTGACCTTAGAGGTATTTTCCAACCTTAAGAATTTTGCATTTTCACCATTCTTGCTCAGAAGACATGAAGATGTGGCAATTGGAGATATGGCATAGTGATAAGGTGCTGCTGGGTCAGGGGTTGGTCTCAGTGATCTTAGAGGTCTTTTGATTTTATGATTTTTAATGGGAAAGGTCATTCCTGGTCCACATGTGCACACACACACATCCAGACATGAGCATGCCCACATTTGCACTTAAATAATTGCCTCTACACACCTGCTTACAGGTATCTGGAAATGCCCCTTTGGGTGGACTCAGGCTGCTCTCAGCTGGCACCATGGCAGTGCCAGTTATTCTTCCTCCAGCTCTCTGTGTGCAGTATTCTAGCTGTGCTGTAGACATCCTGCTTGTCTTCACCTTGCAGGCTTCCCAAAGGGCAGCATAGAAAGGAAGCATAGAAAGGCCTGGGTTAGCAGAGACCTTAAGGATCATGTAGTTCATGGAAATGGAGTAAGAATCATTATAAAATCTGGTCTTTAGAAAGCTATTGGCAAACCTGTTTTCAAGCCGATTCCATGGTGATAGTTTCAGGAGCAGGTAAAGTTTGAGGGAAAAGAGGGGAAGTCTTTGGGTTTTTTGAGTCTTTTGGGTTTCTTTTAACAATCTGACACAGTTGAAGGAAGGTCTTTAAGGTCTCCAGACATAGCATCTGGCCTTGGTTTTGCACTGGGTGGGCTGCCAAGGCAACAAACACTGAAACTGCATGGGAAGGGAGTAATCAGCCATAGCTATCTGACTGTTGTGTGTTTCAGATGGGATTCATACGCTCACCTGTGCCCTGATGCTGCTAAACACAGACCTCCATGGCCATGTAAGTAGCACTTGAAGATGTATCCATCCTTTATGCCTTTCCAGTGTAGTGGTCTGTTCTGTTACATTGAATGTGTTGCTGGAAAGTTGAGATAGGTTGATAAGGTTGACCTGCTGCTCCAGGGGGAATTTTGCATGCCAGGCTCAGGCCTGGGGACAGTCCACACACAAGTATCACTCCACACTCAAGCCAAAGGCATGTCTCCTGCTGGCATCAGTTATCCTGTGCAGGCACAGGCAGTGTGGCTTTCACCCCAGCACCCGGTGCATGCATCAGCCCTGTCCCAGGAGCTCTCATTGAGGTCTTCCCTGCCAATCTCTGTGGGACTGGGAACAGCAGCACCAGTTGTGCTGCTCCTTCTTGCAGTGCAGACACCTGAGGCTCTTCTCTTCCCATGAACTGCTGCAAGGGAGTCAGTGGTTTCACACAGGTCTAGATTTGGTCTTTCCAAAACATGAAGTAATTCCCTGCTATTCCTTTTCCCCAAGATGTAACAGTTACCAGGGAGTTTCATATCAGAAAAGCCTCTGGACACAGAGCAGGGCAAGCAGAGCTCAGTGCCCAAAAGAGTGACTGGAAAACCATAGAAGCTGTGAGAAGATCTCTCACCACATTTTAGAGGCTCTTTCCAGCAGCATAGGTTGGATTTGTTCCTAAAAGGTCAACCAGATTGTAGACAGCAGAGCAAAGTGGGAGGAAAAATAACTGCAGTGAGGAGATAAGACTGGCCCAGGGAACACCACTGGGACATTGTGCACCCTTGGAGATGCTCACCCTAGCCATAGCTCTGGGAGTGGACCCTGTGCCCTGCTCAGTGCTGAGGAGGGTTGAAGGCACTGCTGTCCCAGATCCCCTCCCTGCTGTCCAGATTCATGGTGCAGGTGTAGAGCAGCTGTGAGCCTCAGAGGGCTGCGCCCCCTTTCCAGAATTAGAGGGGCTCCTCAAGCCTCAGGTTGCCAAGCTTCATAGCTCCCCTGAGAGCTCAGACCTGGAGCCACAGACTACCCTAAAGTTGGAAGTGGCATGTATGGGAGCAGATGGGGAGCTTGTTGTAGCAGCCTGTGCATGTGGAACATGCACACCCTTCTTCTGCCCCACAAACCCACGATTTTCAAGCTGCATCATCAGACTCCTCTTCTGCCTCCACCTGGTAGCCATTTGCTGTTCATTTGCAGTGCCTTGCCCTGATTTTCTCTCCATTAGCCTAAGGCACAATAGGCCCTAACCCAGCTTTTTATTTTTTTCATACTGATTTATAATCACCTTTGAGAGGAGCCTTTTCTGTGGGGGTAGGAAGAGGACACTACATGAGGACATCATTGATGATGGCAGAGATGTAAAGGCCACCAGCTTCACCAGTGCCATACTGACAGTCCACCTGGGAGATCCTCCCCAACACTGCAGCACAGATACTGCCCTCATGACAATGGCAAGGTGTCAAGACAGCAGCCAGGGGAAGGGAATTACAGGTCCCTGCAGGACTGTCCTTTCCAGATGTGTGCTGTGGCATCCTTTCCAGATGTGCACAGTGGCCTGCATCAAGCTGCCTACAGCTGCTGTGGCCTCATCCTTTGGGAACAGGCTGTTATAACCAGTGTTAGACTGGGCACTGTGTCCGTTCTCACCCACGTGGCTCCCAGTAATGTGTCTGGTGGAACCAGTTTCTGGGAGGGCCACATAGACCATTCACCCTTCAGCCCAAATGGTTGGAGCCGAGGAAATATTTTCATCAAGGCATTTCCTGCAACAGCCAAGGCAGCATTGTGGCAGAAGGAAAAGTATGCAACTTCATGCCAAAATAATCTTATTTTGTCTAGTTTTTTTAATTAAAAAAATCCAACATATGTCTCTGGGAAGATAGGCATTATTGAAAAGGCCAAAACCCCCACCTAACCCTCCAAAAACATTTCTCTTTTTCATTGACAAGCTGGCTAAGAGGCCTAGTAAGAAGAAATGTTCTCATGCTACCTAGGCAAAGAAAACCTAACTTTCTTTTGGCCAGGTGTGGAAATGCCTGAGCTTTTCTTTGACAAATCTTCTCTTTATTTCTTCTGCATGTGTAACATTAATTTCTTCTTCTCCTTTTCCTCCTTTTTTTTTTTTTATATTTCCTTCTGCTCCTGGAACCTCTCTTTCTGCTCTTTAACCCTTTACCAGGTGGTAAGTGCAGTTGTTCTAGTGTTTTGCTTTAAAGCAGTGGCATTTGACTTGTGTTTTCTGTGTTAAAAGCAATAAGGATTTTTGTCTGTCTGGATTCCTAAGTGATTGTGCAGTGTTCTTCCCTACTTAGCAAGCCATTAGCAGCTGATATGCATCACATTAGAAGAGCCCTCCATAAACTGCAGTGTACCTGGGACTGTGTGACTTGATCTCCCACCCCTTCTTGTTAAAGATGCTGCCATGATATTCCATATCACTTTTCATTTTATTTTCCTTTTCAGTGTTGTGTGTGTGGTGCAGTGTTTTACTTTGCATTGCCTTGGAGTGGGAAATTCCTTTGGTGAGGAAATGGGTGTTGATATGTCTCTGTCAAGGGGCAGTTCCCCACAACAATGTCTCTGGAATGGGCTGGTTCACCATTCCAGCAGTGACCATGATGTATAGTCCAGACTTTAAGGGAATGAGACTGGCTTTAAAAGAGGAGATTTGCACCTGGCCTTAGTACTGTTGATCTTCTGCCACAGGTGTGTTCAGACCCTGTTTCCTAACCATCCAGACAGCTTACTGTCTTTATAATGAGACATTCCCCATTCATGGAAGCACCTGGAGTTGGTGTTAAAAGCCAGCAGTCATCAACACATATTCCAAGCCTTGTAATGTAATCCAAGTTGTTGCAACTCTCTATCTTGCTCTGCTGGTGCTGTTTGAGCTCCAGGAGATCTTATGGCAAAGTAAGTACTGCCCTCCTCCATCTCTGCCCCATGGGTATTTTCACCTGAAGATGAGTATTTGGGAGAGCTCAAAGAACCTGAGTAGAAGCAGGACCTGCTAGGGACATGGTGATCGTGCTGGGAAGCTCACAGGAGATGTGCTCCACTCACTGCTTTGCAGCTGAGGGGTTTGATGACCAGGGCCTCCAGCCCAGAAGCTCAAGAGGTTTAACCCCTCACAGAGGGAGTGCTGGCAGAGCACCCCAGATAGCCACCCTTCACACCTTCTAGTCCTCAGAAAAACTGCTTCCCTTCCTGGGGCTTTCACATGGCACCTGCTTTTCTCAGTGAGCACCCAGCTCCATACTCACCTGCCCAGACTTCTAATGCTGGGACCTGGCAACAGCTGAGGAATGTCAGACTACAGACCGGAATCTTCAGGAGGTGGGCAGAGTCATCCTAGATACTTCAGGAGATGCTCTGTGATGATCTTGAGTGAATCAGCTCAGCAGATGTCTGAGACCCAAAGGAGGGAAAAACCCAACTGTAAACAAGGGAGTTACACTGGATTGAAACAATGGGATGGCAGGATAAGCTCTGTCTATTCATCATCAGATCAATTTCATCCTTCCTAATTTATTGTTCTGCACTCCAATGACCATCCTGCACGCTGCTCTGCGTCCCTGCATTCCCATCCACTCTGCACACATCCATCTCTGCCCATCCATTCCCAAACCGTCTCTACCCATTTGTCTGGGTATCCATCCCTTCTCAGCTGTTTAGCCCACTGTTGGCTCACTGGCTCCCCACCCAGTGCACTGTGGTGCTCACTGATGCTCTGACAGTGGTTTCTCATGCTTTGCTGCATGGCCTGGAGCAACCAAAGGTGGGATGCAGTTCTTTTCTGCCAGGGGGACATATTAAGAATAGTGGCTATGTGTGGCTGTGAAACAGCCTCTCTGGCTTGTTCTACTGCTGGTAAGGGACTGATGCACCACAAAAAAATGGCAATGTGCCAGATTCAGGAGGTGGATATGCTCCATAAATAGGGTATTTTTGGACAGGAAGAAAGCTCTCCCTACCTAGAGGTCCCAGTTCAGCAAGGGACATAGGACATCTGAGCACCAAGGTTTGGGGTGTGCAAGTGCATTCCCCTGAGGATTGCATCTCTGTGTGATGATCTAGCTGAATCAGCCAGGTGGCCTGCTGCATAAGAAGCCACCCCACTGCAACCTCAGAGTGGCCCTTTCCAGGCTTCTCCTGGGATTTCCTGTACATGCTAAATACTGTTGGAGTGTGAGAAAGCTCAAGCAGTCCCTGGTGCTGATGCTGTTGATAATGAGGCACTTGTGATCACAGAGCTCTTTCTTTGCAAGTGTTGATCAAGTGAAGCTTCGAAGTCTGTGTCCTGGAGTGGTTTTTTTGTTCTCTCTGCTCAGCTGGTGTTGATGTGGAGGCACTTACAGGGCATTGTGTTTGAGTGGCTGGCTCCAGCCCACTTCTGCAAGCAGCAAGCTGAAGTGTTAAAATATTGTTGGTGTGAGGTTTTATTGTATCTGAGCCACTCCAGCATCCTGTGCTTGTTCCTGCTGGCAGTCAACCTCAATGCTGCCCCTGACCCTGCAGTGCTTCAGCCTTGCCCAACAAGCTCATTCCTGATACTAACATCCTTGCTGGAGCTCTCATCACCTCTACTGGTTGTCAGGGAAAGTGTATGTTTTCATCTTTCTCAATTGTTCAGCAATTAGCTGCTTTTCCAGTGTGGCTGCTGCCTCAGGTGAGCTCAGAGATCATCTTGTGGCAGAGAAAGGGACAGATCGCAGAATAGAAAGGATTCCATTCATTGGTATGAAGGTATGATGTCCCAGACACATACATGAGAAACCCAAGAGGGCCTGTGAGGCTGGTAACTTGTGTTATCTCACTGTAGCCACTCACTTCCAAAAATACTTTGGCCTCTGCATTCACTGCTGAATCACTGCACAAGACCACTGCTGTGCACTCTGCTTCCCTGCCTCAGGGCAGGGGTGGGAGAAGTCACCTTCTCTCTGCAAAGTAATTTGGTGCCTCAAGGTCTCAGGCAACACACCTACCTCACCTCCAAACTTCTTTCCTTCTGGAGGTTCATTGCTGTATTTTTTAATGCACTCTTTTGCCCTCGTTCCTTTCTCCATGCACACACCATTGTGCTGCTGAATTTTTGCTTTATTTTCTGTGCCTGAAATTCACTGGACAGCAAGCACACAACTTGATCTTCCCTCTGCTGAAATCCCCGCATGTCTGCTGGTTTCCTGAGCTCTCCTGCATCCCCTGTACCCACTGAGCCCTGGCTGGCAGCAGCCTCTAGCTGTGGGAACCATGGGGCTCCCCTTGAGAAAACCACGATGGTTGAGCCTGTGCTGTGCCATACCACATCCACAGGCACTGGCAGATTTCCAACAGTGCCTTATTTCTCTCTTTCTTGAACTCATCTGGAGCTGACCCCAGCAGGAGGCATAATTAAGAGTATCAGACAGAGCTGCTCAAAGGCAGCACTTGGCTCCCTGTGCAGCCCAAGAGTGTTTGCACACACAGATGGCAGGTGTGCGTGTGTGTGTTGGGAGGGCATGGTGAGCTAATCCCAGGGCCTCACTCTCTCCTAATGCTTTAATCTGGGGAGAAACCTCCAGGTCATCTGCAGTGCATGTTTGTGGGCTGGGGGTTCTGGTGTCAACCTATTTCAAGAGGTTATTTTCTTGCACAGAGGACACATCTTGCCCTGCAGGGCACCTCCTGTATCATCTGCTGCAGCTTCATCTCTTGCCAGTGACCCACTGAGGCCCTTCCGCTTCCTCACTGAGACTCCAAGCAGGGCTCTGACTCTGCTGTTCTTGGACATCCTCCCAGGTCCATGTGCTGGCATGGCCACCCTGTTGATAACCTGAAGTGTCAGGATGCTGTTGGGATCCTTAGGAACACTGGTGGCAGCTCATGAACTCCATGTGATGCCACCCAGTCTCTCCTCCACACACTCCAGGGTGTGAAAGGTGCCATATGACATGGCACTGGAGACCCCCATCTTTCATTTGTTACATCAGATTCCTCTATCTGAACCCTACGATTCCCACTGACTACTCCACAGAGCTCTAGAGAGGTAGGATTGCAGGAGGAGGGTTGGGAAAAAGCTGCCTGCCTCGACCTTTGCAGGCTGAGGAAGTGACTCACCTGGCTATGGTGAGGGAAGGCGTTTGGAAAGACAGATGCCACAGATGATGAGGCCACTGATATGAGGGATGCCAGATGGTCTGGCAACGTCAGCACCAAATAGTCTTGGCATTAGCTGGTGGTGAGTATGTTTCAGGTTGTGAGATTCTCCCAGTGTATGCACATTTCCCTCTCATGCCACAGCACTCAAGTTCACACAGTACCAGTAGCTGTATCATCTCTTTTTGTCATGGCAGTCCAAAATCAGAGTTTCCATGAAGGACCAGCATTCCTTTCCCAGTGCTGGCTGTTTCAGGTGCTGCACAGCATGCTCAAACAATTTCACATGCAGCAGGCTTGGAGCCCTATCCAAGCATTGCCTTTTTAGCATTCTGAGTGCTTGTCTTGAGTTTTGAATCACAGGCCCTGTACTAGGGCCAACCTGGATCACTTACGAAGTTGGGAGCAAGAGCTGGAGAGGCTATTTTCAGGTGTCTTATTTCCACCATTAGCAAAGAGGTCATTTGAAACATTTGGGTGCTGGCAGGAGCAAATTAATCAAAGAGCTCAGTAGAAAATCAGAGCAGAAGCCTTTTCAGCTTTGAGCTCTTGGGACAATCTCAGGCTTCAGTACCACATATGAAATTGTTCTTTGAAATACACTGATTAAAGTCAAAACTCTCCATGAGTTTAATGAGCTGCTTCTTTGCCTTACAGAATATTGGCAAAAAGATGTCGTGCCAACAGTTCATAGCAAACCTGGATGGGCTGAACGATGGGAAGGACTTTGCAAAGGATTTGCTGAAGGTAACGTGATATAAATAGACAGTGGGATACTGTCATTGTTACTGTAGTGCCACCTAGTCCTACTGGGACACTCTGACCCCTTCAGTCAGCATTTTCCAGTGCACAGTTGTTTCATGAGAAGAATTGTAACCCCCATGGATGGCTTCTGCTCACTTGCAGTGAGCCAAAATAGGTCTGCTCCCTGGTGGTGTTTTATCCAGATTTGTGGCATAGCTGCCCTCAGAGCATACCAGGGGACCCTTTTCTCCTCAGTAGCTCTGTGATGCACCAGATAATGCACAGAACAAGTTATCCCACACCCCCAAATACAATGATCCAGCACTGATACTTTTCTCTGCCTTTATTTCCATGTAGTTAGATGCCTTATTCCAATACAACTAGTGCAGTGCTGTGGGATATGGTTAAGCACCCCCAACTGAGTATTATCTCCTTCCATGTGATTTAACACCACCACTGCTCTCAGCAGCCTGGCCAGGATTTTGCTGTAGGGAAGGAGGTTGAAATGAGCAGTGCAACAGCAAGGGTGTCACATTGTGCTGGAGGTGACACCCCCAAGTCCCAGCATACCTAACCCACCCCTCTGTATGGTCAAGACCACCTTCACATTCTGCTTTCCTAGTCCATTCCTGTTTCTTCACCAGTGCCCCAGGGAAGCAACTGGAATTTTGCACAGGAGGAACTGGAAAAGGAGATTCCAAGGTCATTCATCCCTCCCCTGCTACTCAATTCAAGCCTCCCCTGTCCTTTTCCCTAGTTAAGGTGTTGAAGGTATCATGGCATATCCCAGAGTCTTCTACCATCTTGTATAGGGCAGGGTTCACTCAGAATGAGCCAAAAATCTCATACACAGCCTCCTGAGCAAGGCTGGTTGCCAGACCCCTCTGCTGCTGATGTGTCCAGTTCAACACCTAGCATGGCACATAGACAAAAAAGGGGTCTAGCAGGGCAGCAATTGTCCTGCTTGTTGGTGAAAGGCCTTCCAGGACAGTTCAGTGAAGAAGGTATCTCTCCAAGAACACAGACAGGGTGTGGAGGAGATGGTCTCCACAGCCAGCCATGACTTCTGTGAGAAACACAGCTAATTCCATGGCAGGGGGGGTTGGGACTAGATGATCTGTAAGGTCCATTCCAACCCTTAAATTCTATGATTCTATGATTCTATCTTCTTGTTTCAGACACTGTATAACTCCATCAAGAATGAGAAGCTGGAATGGGCCATGTAAGTATATGCTAGGTATTAAAGAGATAGTGTGTCTTTCCAAGTAGTTGACAGGTCCTAAGTCATGTTTTCAAGTCCCAGAACATTTCCTGTCAAGCCCTTAATGGCTGAAGTCCCTATGTAGCCAAATTGAGTTTATTTATTGCTTAGATGCAAAAGCAGTTGGGAAGGTTGGTGACAGTCTGTGTACCCATGATCTAAAGGAAGGGAATGCCCTCTTTGTTTACTATTACACCTATAAAATGCTGGTCTCTCTCCAGGTGCTTCAGAAGCCTTTGCACAAGGAGCTCAAGATCTGGGGTTATTTTGGTCACTGAGACTTTCCATATGTCCCACATAGTTGTTTTCTTTTCTGGCAATAGCACCAGAGAATCACGCAGGAGGGAAGGGACCATGTGGTATCTCCAACCCTCAAACACTGAATTCAGACCAGGACCCTCAGGGCTTTGTTCAGTTTGATCCTGAAAACCTCCAAGGACAGAGAACTCACAACCCCTCTAGAGCAACAAACCAATACTTTATTATTCTGAGAGTGGCATTTTTTTATTGTCTCTGTCATTTTGACTTATGCTCACTGTCTCTTGTCCTTCTGCCAATCACTACAGTGAAGAGCCTGGTTTTGTCCCCTCGATAACCCCCTCACACATGTTGGAAGGCTGCCATGAAGTCCTCCAAAGCTATCTCTTCTCCAGGCTGAAAAAATACAGTTCCCTTAGTCACTTCTTACATTCCAAGTACTCCAGCCCCCAGGCTTCTTGGTGGCCTCAGCTGACATCTCTCCACCTTGCTGATGCCCTTTGCTGTACTGGGAGCCCAGTACTGTCTGCTGTATCACGATATGATGCAATGAGTGCAGAGCAGAGGATCACTTCTCTTCACCACCTCACTGTGCCGCTGTTACACAGCCCAGGATGCTCTTGGCCTCTTTTCCTGCCAGGATGTACTGGCTGACTCCTCTTCATCCTGCTGTTCAACCGGAGCCCGAGGGCCTTTTCCGCAGAGATGCTCCCCAGCCAGTCAGCCCTGGGCGACCCTTCTGCAGGACCACTCCACTCCAGCGCAGCACTGGGGTGCTCCTGGCCCTCTCAGGAGTGGCCTTGTACCTCTGTTTTTATGTCATCCACGAGTTCAATAAGATGCACTCTGTCTTCTCCTCCAGATCATCATCTGTTACCCTGAAACAAGTTTGGGAACAGCTGGCATGGTAGTTACTATCACAGGTTCACACTGCACCTTCCCCAGCCTTTTTCTCTCTGCTCTGCCACCCACACCCTGCCCACAGCACAGGCCAGGACCCTCAGCAAGGGGTGTGCTGTGCTCCCCAAACCCAGCACCTCCCCAACACTGACTGGGGGCAGCCCATGACAGGCGTGGGGTCTTAAGGTAACACAGTGGTTACCTCTCCTCTCTCCTCTCCTCTCCTCT